CCGGGACCGGTTATGGCCGGTTATGAGAAATGTAAGGACCGATTGGGACCGGCCCGGGACCGGTTTTTGGCCATCTCTAGTCCCGGTCCCACGAAACTACCAAAAACCTCAACCGGTCCCGATTTTCGGTCCCATAACCGGTCCTTACCGGTCCCGGTCCCGGGCCGGTCCTTTGTCGGTCCCGGTCCCGGGCCAGGCCGGGCCGATTTGGCCATCTCTAGTCTACAGCAACTTCAAAGACCAAAATGAAGAGTACACGGATGCATGGATCATTAAATCAGATAAAGTCGCACATTAAAGCTAGCAAGCAATGTTTAATGCAATGATGGCTATAAAAAAATCATCCTTGCCATATGTTGCAACTTGTTTCAAAAAAACTTTTGAGCTCCAAAATTAGCGTTACAATATGAAGGACTATCTGAGTATTTCAGATCTGAAAGAGTACCTTCTTCTTTCACTTTTTCATCTATTAGCAAATTGTCACCAGTCAGATTATTTAGGATCAGATCTTACCTTCCTAACTTCCGCGACAAATCTATAATTCTTGCTTTAATACAAAATATAGAATTAAAAGTGAAAATTTGTTGTGTTTGTATTCTACCCCATCTACAAACACATCATGTGTAATTCATTACTTTTCAGGACAACAATCTATTGAATTGTATGATATTCATGTTGTTAGGCATTTTATACATGTGATGTTTTGTATATTGGAGTTGAATACTTTTGGAGTTATTTAGCATGTTCAAACCATTGACAAAAGAGGAGTTAATAGCAGGCGGGCAAACAAAGCGAGTTTCTGGCGATATGTGATTTCTAAAGAGCAGACACTAAGATTGTTGAGCATTGAGGTGAAACCCAGAGGGGTCGGCACTAAGGTCAACACTAAATCTATGGACTGTAACTACATTGGAGGTCAGTTGGCACTAAGACAAGAGGTCTTGAGGTTCAACACGACAACAAGTTAGATGTGGCCTAATTTGTTTTCTGTCACATCAAATGGAAACGGCCAAACAGGTTCCCCTGTCATTGAAAAATGTGTTTGGGGTTGGATTATAGTGATTAACTATGGTTTTGAAAGGATGTCGAGTGTTACATAAACATGTTATTTGTGTTTTTTCAAAATAGAGTCTTGGTGTTGCATAACGCGTTTTACTAACAAAACAAGTCGTTATTTGAAAAACAATATTTTATCCAAATTATCATGGAGTTGTGGTTTAAAATGTTTAAACTCCCGAGGCTTTAACCTCTAAGCCTAACATTTTTTCTTGTCGACATGTGCATCAAGTTCTAGTGTGAGCGGTACTGCCGACACTTGGAATGAGTTGAATGGTAAATAGATCCACATGAAAGACTTAGCTCTTTAGGACGTCTTTCATACCTTGGAGATAACGATTGTTATGTGGGTTTTATAACATCCATTCCTAACCAAGATCTTGTGTAAGGTTCAGTTTCTAAAGTCGTTGGCTTTAAACCTTAAATTATCTATATAAGTATTTGATGTTGACTTTGGGGAAGAAACTTATACTATTTTTTATGTTTATCAAAAGTTTTAAGCTATTCGCTCTTTTCCAGAATTTAGGGTGTTACAACTTGGTATCAGAACATAAGTTTAATAGATTTAGAGGAGGTTTGTTTACCTGTTAATGGTTCCATTAAGTGAAAAATATTTGATTCGGTTAGAGGTGAAGATTGTTTGGTGATCTCATTAAAACCTCTAGGGGCGTGCAGAAAGTCATATGATCCTAACCACAAAGGTGGTGCCTAATTGGTTTGAGCTTGACTCCAAAGGTCAAAAATACAAGAAGGTCTCAGGTTCAAATCCAAACAGAAATAAAAATTCCCTTGTGGCCACGGATGTTCAAATGCGGTGACTCCGGACTGCGTACAAAGCAGATGGTCTTTCTGAGATTAGTCGACTCGTATAGCGGGTTGGATATCTAGGTTAATAAAAAAAAGGGATAAATAATGTATTAATTTAGAAAAAATTCATTGATATTTTGTACCTTTTTTTGTGACATTGAAAATAAAGAAATGGCTGCTTCTCGGATCGTTACAAATACAATAAAAACGTTAACGTATGACGTAGTGCCACGTAATGCATCATCCAAGCTTTTTCAACGCCAGCTGGAAATTGGCCTCATGGTTTGCCTTTGCATTCCTATTGCTTTTCTGCCGCCTACTAAATGACACCGCACCGCCATTCCTCCTCGTTTCTGAACTTTTGTCGAGCGCCGAGCTGGCTGTAATGGCCAACGAACAGAGTTCTTGCAAAGAGAAGGGTTTGTTTGACTTTGAGATCGGCATCAAGAAGTAGATTTGACCCGGCTGGAGCTCTTCGTCGGCGGCCATGTGAGGCACGTGACAGTTGATGAACATGGTCTCGCAGTTGCAGAGGAAGAAAGCGTTTGACTGGTCGGAGATCACGTTGCTGGCTCTGATTGGCTGCCGGAATTCTTGTAACCTCCCGTCGCCGGAGTGGATCACCTTTGCCGTTGATGATGGCCCGTTGCTGATCAATAATCTTCCTTGATTTCTTCTGTACTGAACCGATGCACATATACCCATATGGATGAAGGGATGATTGTGTTTTTCTGTATTAATTTATTTCGGATTTTAATTTTTCCGGCCGACGAAGCACAGCGTTGCACAACCGTGAACTTGAAATTCCGATGTTGCAAAATATTTGGGTTAGATTGGTGTTGACTGGTGAGTTCGAGGAGGGGTGGTGAGATGTATATACATACACACCCACATATATATAGCGCATAGATGATGGAGGAGTGTGTGAGATCTACAAGTGATTTCTATTTTGGATTATTATATTTTCATCATTTTAAAATAAAAAATATTCATAAAATAATTATAAATTAGATGCTTTTACAGTGTGAGGATCAAGTTCAAAATATTGTGTGACATGTGGTATAGTTACGATGTCAAGTCTTAAGTCTTGAAAGTCCCGACGAGGTCATGATGTTTTTCAAGACTTGATTTATGATGACAAATCTCTATATCATTTATAAAATAATATACTGAAACATACGTTTTCTGTCGTTACTCAATAAATCAAATAATAATAAGCAATCTAAGTCATATATTAAAAACTAACAAATACCGTGCCTCAGACATTACGTGGCATGAGACGCAAGTTTTAAGTCATGACGTACCATAACGGCTGTTGCGGCGAGTTTTTTTTTCAAACATTGGTGAGGATAGGTAAGATTACTAAGATTAACAATTTTTCAACGAAGCTTTTGAATAAGAAAATGTTGGTTTCATAAAATACGAGAATGAAAACATGAAAATTGAAAAAAAAAATGAAATACAAACACGAACCAGATTATTTTTTTGAAAAAATGTGAATAAAAAATAAATATTTAAATTGTTACCAAAAATATTGTCATACCATTAATCTGGTTTGATAATGTGAGACTCTAACATATAACATATAGTTTTGATTGGTTTGATACATAATTATTTTTCTAAAGTGATTAATTTGTAATTATTTCATTTTACAGACCCAAACCATAACATTTTGTAAATAACAAGGACAAAAAATGTAATTATTCTAAAATTTTGTTTAGAAGGAGATCAACTAGTGAAAAATACAGGTGTCAAATCCCATATGGTTTACACCATATCTAAAAAAATGAGGACAACTGATCAATACGACCAAGATTGCGTGAAAACTCGTCCGTGCAATAACTGGTCAATACAATCACTCGGGACGTGTTATAAATTACATACGATTTGCTATGGAAATCATATATAATTTAAAAAACACTTGTTACATTTTTGGTAAGTTGATTGTTTTATCGTTTTGACCTGTCTCTGTTTTTTAGTAAGGCATCTGATTTGATGTAGATGAGAATCAGATTTTTATTAATAATCAATAATAAAATAAATTGCATAAAGAAATATTTAAAAAAATATTATTATAATAAAAAGTGTTTGTTTATGTTTTTGGGAAAAAAAGTAACAAGGAGACAACCTAGAGATCCAATTAAAATAATCCAAAACATTAAGCTGTTATATAATCAATTAAGGCTTAAATACAAATAATAATCATAATAATTTATTATTAAATTAAATTTCCTCTTTTTCTACTATATAATTTTGTATAAAATATCAAAATTAAAAAAATATATATCTATACTATATTATAAAGCATTTGACAAAAACTCTTAAAAACATTTTTTATGCATGAAGTACTGTTTATTAAAAAATATATATCTATACTATATTATAAAGCATTTGACAAAAACTCTTAAAAACATTTTTTATGCATGAAGTACTGTTTATTAAAAAATATATATCTATACTATATTACTTAAAAATCAAGATTACAAGTAAATTGTGGCGTAAGTACAACTTATTAAAGCTTTATATTTGAATTCGTGTAACTAACTGTAGATAAACAATCAAATAAAGGATAAACATCTCATTTTAAATATAAAAATCTAAAATATAATTAGGATAATCATTGAGTTCTAATAAAACACTTAATTATTATATTTATAACAAAATTATATTATTAAACCAAATATAAATTACTTCGTGATTAAATCTAAATTAAATTATAATAAGAAAATTGAACTAAAAAATTACACACAAATAGAAATTCTAAATAGTTAATTTGATATTAATATCGATATATTATTGTCAAATTTTTATGATATCTTCAAAATCATATTTTATTCCAAAATAAGAAAATAATCGTTTTTTCAAAATCACATAAGACCATATTATAACATCGACTGAGATAAATAATAAAATGAAATATTAAAATCAAGATATATCTCGCTGCATTGCACGAGTACCCTTCTAATATATATATATATTTATAAATATATAAAACAACAAAATTAGATTATATGAAATGGCAAAATACTTGCTATTTTAGTAAAAAAATAAGTGTGATATAATTGGTTGAACATTTGAAGAGATGAGAGTTGGGTCAAATGATGGTAATATGAAACATTTGACCACTGATGCTTAAACAAGTGTTGTTTCTAAGTGATATCAACGGCCAAATTATTCCACCTCTTTATTCCTCAAAGACTGCTAAATTAACCCACTTTCCCCTCAAATTCTATTAAAAAAAAGTAATTAAAAAGGAAGGATATTCCACAAATAAATAATAATAAAAATGGATCTAGATTTTAAAAATAAAAAAATTTAAAATCTATTTTCAAAAACCGTGAGTATTTAAAATCTTGGTTTTGGAGAATGTGTTGGTGCTCACAAATCTCACGCTCGATCTATGTGAAATAGGTTGTCCCTAATGGATTCCCGACGTTTACGACAGACGTACCCAACTTTCGTCTTGTTTATCATTGATGTAAGATTTGCCCGATATGTTGTAAACACCCCTCTTCCTTTAATCAGAGACTCATCATCCTTGACGAGGTTTTCCCCACCATTCAAATGGAAAAAATGATCAACTCTAAGGTCTCGTTTGATTTGGAGGATTAGATTAGATTTCGAATTGAATCCCATTCCAATCCCGTGTTTGGTTTGAAAATTTTCTCGGATTTGAAATCCTATAAACATAGGATTTTGTAGAATTTGTATGCAATAATGTTTTAAAATATTTAAAACATTTGTTTTGTAATAATCAATTAATAATATGATAATTTAATTTATTTTATAATTTGTTTTTATAAATTATTTATAAAAAATAGAATTCAATTCAATTCAATTCCAAATCCAAATCCCTCCAAGTTCAAATTGTTCAACAAAATCCGAAACCTTCAAAATCATTCCATCAAATCAAACACCCCCTAAAATTTCTAATACTATTTGCAACATCCCAAAACTCACAACACCCATTTATCCAGATAGACAAATTTATCCGGACAAACAAATTTATCCATACAGGACTTAATAAAAAAATTTGGTAAACAACCCCTTATAAAACAGTCTATTAGAACGCTTATTTATTGGTGACGTCCTATAAAACCAATTTTATTATAGTGGGTAGAGGAATCTCAATTTTTACCTATGTGGAACAGAATGTTAAATAAAAAATCAAATATAAATCCTAACAATTAAAAGTAATTAGAAAAATTGTAATATTGTTCATACATAACTACTCATGAGCTACACAAGCTTTGTATTTTTCCCCTTATATTAATCAAAATAAGGGAGATTTTACATTACTAAATATAGAATCGTGTCCAATATGGGTTATATTTTATATGCACTTTAAAGAAAAACTTTATGAATACGATCAATTTTAGATGTACCATAAATGTCATCTAATAGCAATCACGTTTGAAAATTCAATATGATCCGATCAAATTTGATGTCTTTTACTTTGCAAAAAAAACTGATTATGATAAATGATGACATAAGTCGTTTCATAACAGATGAACTGACGGTTTGTCCACTTGTTTTGTTGGATCTTTCAAAAAGTAATTCAACAACTTATTTAGGTTATATTTGAAAAATTAATTGATAACTATAGTTTAATTGGCTGGTAAATTACTAATTGTTTGTTGAAACTTTAGATATTGTCTAATAAACTAGATGGTAACTGATAAATTAGTCATGTTTAACCAAATGATCTTTGATCTAGCGGTATGTAAGTCATTGGCCTCCTAGGAGCTTAAGGGTTCAAACCTCACCAAATATGAGAAATGTATATTTGTTTTATTTATTGTATATAAATATTATATACTTTTAAAAAAATTAGTTATGTTTAACATAAACTAAATTTAAAATGCAAAATGCCCTAAAAGACTAAAGTTTTTATTTATTAATTTTTTTATCGTTTGTGTAAAATATATAAAACATAATTGATTTTTAGAAAAACAAACCATATAGCTTACTGAAACACTACTTGACGTATATTTTAATAAACTATGTAATTCTTTCTCAATCGATGCTTTTTCAATAAGCTGAAAAAATAAGCTTATTTATGGTAGCCAAACATTGTCTTAGTAATCCTTAAAAATTAAAAGCTATACAGTACGTTGAAAATTGTTAATTTCGCCAATGCAGTTTTAAATTAGAGTTTTTGTAAATTTATTGTTGTAGTTTACTTTTTTTTTATGATTAACCTGGATATCCGACCCGCTATGTGCGCCGAGTAATCCCAGGGCGACCATCTGCTTTACAAATAGCCCGGAGTCACCGCATTTAAACCTCCGTGGCCACAATGAGATTTTTATTACTGCTTGGATTTGAACCTGAGACCTCCTAGTACTTTTGACCTTTGAAGTCAAGCTCAAACCAATCAGAAATCATCCTTATGGTTGTAGTTTACTCTTTAATTAATAGCTAAAAGAAAATAAGTTGAAAAATATTGTTTACAAGATGTTGTTTTGTTTTATACTGAAAATTTTAAATTATTATTTTACTAACATTTTGGTTATTATATATAATATAAATTATTTACAAGTTATTAGTACTTTTTTCAAGAAATATTTACAGTATAACATAATAGATCTTAGGACACGTAAATGTCGTAATATAGTAATGAAACTTCATGTTTATATGACCGAAAATTAGACAATGTAATATAAAAACGTGACAACAAGTTGTTTCGAGAAGTTGACAGCTTA